AGTTTCCTGGACTCAAAAAAGTATTTGAAAACGAAATCGGAGTGTTTTTTGCTTCGCTGCGCATGCGTTTCCAGGTCTTTGGTGAGATTTCATTTCTAAATGACACGAATCAGTGTCAGGGTATGCACAGGAAACTGTCATTCTCGCGGCAATGCCACGTTGGCGTGGCAGGCTGGTACAGGTCGCTCCAGAGAACGAAGCGCTTTGGGCCATCTTTATTGAAGATGAGATGTGCTTCATCTTTCCAACTCAGAAGCAAAGGTTGGAAGCAGACATGCAAATCGCCTCGAGGGTCGCGGTAAAAGGAGTCACAGAGGCCGGATTGCTGGTATTCCCTGCCTGCAAGCAAGATATCGTCGCGGCTAATATCCAAAAGGCCGATTCGCAAACGCCGGTAGCAGATCCCTCCGACAGGCAGACGCACTGGCGGCAGCTCGTTCTCCTTGAGCTGGTCCAGAATCTCCCATTTCCCGTACAACAGCAAGGGCTCGTCTGCAGCTTGTGTGCAATGCTTGAGAAGCAGTCGTGGCATCGAGCGCAATCCGTGCTCCGAGCCGCCGTTGCTGCTGGTCAAAAACTGCTGCACGCAGCTTGCCAGCTGGCCTTTGTACAGCTTGTGCTTCGCTTCGGTTGCATAGCAGGATAAGACCATGCCGCTGGCCTCATAATGCTTTGGCAGGTGCATTCGGTGGTGATGCTTGGGTTTCTCATGTCCCGCATGTGCCAGCATGAAGGCCCTCATGTGGGATTGCTGCACATCGTCGAGCTTCGACCAATGTTTAGTTTGGTTTACTCTCAGCAGTGCATCCCGGCAACGGCACAGCTGCAAAAAGCTCGCCGTGACCGTTCGCAATCCTTCTGTGCGGTGCCATTGCAGTTGGATGGCATACCAGCGAAACAAAACCACGAGGGCTTGCGTTTCGCTCGCACTACCCTTGTAAACTTCGCCAGCAAAGAACTTCTCCCTGAAAAGCCGCTGCACCCAGCTTCTGGTTTCTCCGTGCTTTCGGCGAACAGCGGGTCGACTCCAGCCAGCTTCAAGCACCGCCTTTTCCAGGTCCTTGAGAGACATTCCCGTGACTTCGTTTACTTTGTTCCAGATCAGAATCAACTCCTGGCTAGCGATACCGTCTGCAAAGTAAGCGTGCATGCTATCATTCATGATCATGTCCAAGCGCAGCAAGCGCCGGCTGAGCGGGCAGGACCAAATGCTGCAGGACCTCAAGCGAAAGCCAGAGCAGGTTTCGCGCATGGCGACGTCTGCTTTTGACAGGCGTGGCACAAGATGCAGACTATCCTGCATGAACTGCACCACGTCGTCTTGTCTGTTGAGCACGAAGTTCCTGGGGTTGCTTTCGCTCACAGGCACGAAGCGGTCGTCTTCTGCCGGTGCTTCCGTCCGCTTCGAAACAACATTCTGGCACAGGAAGCAAGGTCGCAAACCAGCGCTGCCCTTGGCATCAAAGGATAGCCGTAGTGCATCAAAGTCAGAAACCCAACCGGTCAACTCTAGCCGGCAGTGGTGCGGTCCGCACTGCCAGCTCGTCGAGAGGCTTTGTCGATGCCACTCTCGGAGCCAGCCAACAGTGAGGCGGGCGGTTCCTCCTAGGATGTTGTGGATTTGATCTCTGCTCGCGCAGGAGATGGGGAACCAGGCTATTTGCGACTGCACAGCATCCCCGTATTGCTTGAAAGTCAAGTAAAGCAAAGTCAGTTTCTGCCTGGCCTCGGTCGCCAGCACGTTTCCTGCTGTGCATTCGTCTTGGCAGAAATAAACTTGCAAGGCTTCGTCACGAAGCTCAGCTCTTGCGATGACTTGGCCGATGCAGGGGCACTTGGCCACACACAGCCGAAGCATTTCTTTCACATCGGCAAAAACGCACACCACATCATCCTCGCCGGCAGTTGCTGCCGGCAACTGGATTGTAGTGTATGCTCGACGAAAGGGTGCGAGGATTTGCGCGGTCTTTCGCTTCCATGCACCACTTCGCTGTTTGGGCCGGCTTGGGCTGTCGTCGGCTGCCTGGTCGAGAGCCCGAGCGCGCCAAAGACTGGTTTCGCTCTGGCGGCCCAAGGCAGCTTCCAAATGGGATCGCTTCGGCATCCCATGCAAGTTCACGGGCTTCGGAAAGAAAAAGAACAGCTGCAAGCATGTATTGTCATCCTGTTGCACTTGCCAAAGCCAAAACGGCTGCGAGGACAGCTAGAAGCAGCGAAGGTGGTGCGGTGTTTCTGACTGGGCAGTGTTCCTTACTGTGAACCTCTTTTGTCGCGAGTCGCTGCAATTGCGATGGGGCGGCATGCTTGCAGAAGAGATCCCCTGCCCACTCCACATCCTCAGCGGTTTTAATTAAATGCAGTTTGAATTATATGTCGGATCTACATGTCTAGATCGGATGAAACAGCTTGGGCTATGGGTGCACCCTCATCTGAAGCGGTCTTTCTTGCGTTACGGTCCTGGGAACAAGGCAAGTCTCTGCCTATAACTCTGCGGCTCTTGCGCCCGGCCTTCTTCTTCGTCTTGTGTGTCCTGCAAGCAAGCAGTTGGGATGTGCTTTAAGATACTTTGCAACATGTTGGCAGCAGCGGCCTTGGGGAGAGGTCGCAGCTGCAGTCCTTGGACATGCAGTTGCTTTCCATCACACTTCGCCTGCAACGGTGCGGACATGCTTCATTGTGGAAGGGAGGCCTGTTCAAGCACTGCACCTGTCCAGGTAAGGCTGCACAGCGTTGAGGTAGCATGACAAACATGCCCTTTCACTTTTCAGGGATTCCAAAAAAACAACGTAGGCTGCCCTCTCGCACATCGCGAGTGCGCGGTGTTTGCTTTGAGCCAAGACACTCCAGGTGCGCCTCCTGTTATATATGCTGCTTGCCCTTGCTGGCTGTCAAGCAAGATTTTTTTCCTTTCGTGCGGGGAAAACGAGCGTGTTCGGGTCTCGTGTTAGCACACGACGTGACACCTGTGCTTGAATTATGCGAGGGAACTAAAATTAATTAGGGCCTCTCGGCCGGCTCCAACCTCCATGAAGCGAGGAAGGTAACCAAGCATGCAGTTCAGAAAAGCACTTCACTTGGTCTTGCGTGCCCTCTTCGGGGCTGCAGCCTTAGCGTCGGCGGCCTGTCGCTTCAAGTCCTGCAAACTTTTGGCGACACAGGCAGCGTCCTTCACGACCTGCTGCAAGTCCAAGGGCGTCTGGAAAGACAAGGGCTCTGGGCCAGTCCAGGTGTTCTCGCCCTGGGCAGCGGCACCAAGCAGAGCGTTGGCGTCCTTTTCGTAGCTGGTAAGGAGCGGCAAGACCTCCTGGAGCTGCTCCTGAACGCAGCTCTGCAAGCCAGCCAAAGCTTGCTCGCCGAGTTTCTCCATGAGGTTCTCCAGGCGAGTTTTGCTGCTTCGCAAGTTGGGCAGGAGCTTTCCAACCGCAGCAACCAGAACCTTGAAGTCTTTCTTGGCTTGGCGAAGCTTTTCACGTTCTGCTTTCTTCGCTGCGGCCTTCGCTGCCTTGTCGGGGTTTTGCTTGGCAGCCTTCGTGGTGGTCTCTGCCTCTTCGTCGGACTCCAACCCCTCGAACTCCTGTGCCAAGTCGCACAACGCCAGCTGGGCCGCCCCCGCACCAGCCAGAGCTTTGCGAGGTGCTTCTCCTTCCAGCTTCTTGCGTTTCATGGCAGTCTCTAAGCTGCACAGCTTGGTTTCACACTCCTCCACCGTCTTCTCCTTGGTCTGGCTTTCGAAGTTGACCTTGTAGGTTTTGCCGAAGACCGGGTGGTCTTTGGCTTCGCACGTCGCCTCAATCTTGTCAAGCTCATCCTTACTGAGACCTTTGGCTGCGTACATGGTGAGTGGCAGGAACGTGCCGCTCTCCGACTCCTTGTATCTCTTGGTGGACGTCAGCACCATGCAATCCTTGAGGATGCCGCGGGTCTTCTGGTAACTCAAGCGCTCTCCCTTGGAGCGGGTGTCCTTGGCAGTCTGGAAGAACTTTTCCAACTCCTCCTCCTCCAGAAGCTGGTCTGGATTGAGGCCGTTGCGATTCAACGTCGTCATGGTGGCGTTGCAATCCTTGCAGCAGATTCTGTTGGCGCTTCGCACAACCATCTCTGTCTTGGGATGGTTCTTGCGGCAGCGGTAGCAGCAGAAGGCGTGGTCTGCGGCTTGAGCTTGGGTCGCAACAGCCGTCTCCAACAGTTGGGTCTCTATCTCGTCGGGAGAAGGAGTCCCAAGCACTGGAACGCCTTCGGCAGCAGTGCTCTTCTGAATTGCTGCATCCACGACAGCTGCCATGCTTCAGCACCAAAAGCAACGCGGGAGCAAGAACAAGTCTAACAAAACTCACTAGTTGGAGCCAAACGACAGCACCAGAGCACCTCGTCCGAGCAACCACGCAATGTACATATGTATCGTGGCCCCTGTGTTACGATACATATGTCCTGGATATATTTTTTAAGAAAATGATACCCGAACATACGTATCGCGAGCCCCTGTTACACGATACATACGTTACAGGAACAGCACGCGATCCAAAACAACAACACGCAACATCCACGATACATCCGCTCTGGAAGCAAGGAACCCGTACATTATACATATGTATCGCTGACCGGCGGCTCACGATACATACGTTCGGGATGGAATTTTGTAAAAAAGATATCCGAACATTCGTATCGCTAGAACCCCTCATCACGATACATATGTTACGGGAGTCTCCACCAAACAAACAACAACAACACGCAACATCCACGATACAACAACACGGCTTGATGCCTGCCTGGACATGCTTATCGTTCCTATCGGCCTGCGACCAACTAGCTTTTTTTCCTTCAAGCACGTCCGAAAGAAGTCGAGACACTGTGAATTTAATCTACACGAAGCCCAGGCCCCGTGGAGATGGTGCTTCTAAGATTTAAGGCTTGGATACACAGGGTTTAAGTTCTAAGAACTATTAAAGTTACAGGGCTTAGGGATTTAAAAACCAAGCACCATCTCAACCCGGACCGGGTCTTCACAAGCGGGTGGAGGAGCTGCTGCTTCCACCCAAAACTCTGTCTGCCACATCAGCAAACAGATCTCGCAGCAGCTGATACTTCAGGTTATTATCCTCTGCCTCGCTCTTGGTGGCCGCAACACCCTGGGGCATCGAAGCTTGGCCGCCACTTTTGGGAGGCAAGGCAGCTTCCGGCTCCCTCTCCACTGGCTCCTCCTTGACTGTCTGCAGCTTGGAGCTCGGCGGCTTCTGGCCCGACCTCCTTGGCGGATCCTTTGGCTCAGCAGGGCGCCTGTCATCCCGAAGCTCCGAGCGAGACCGGAGGCGGATCCCGAGTGCATCGAGCTTCCAGAGCTGGCGGGCTGCCGCTTTCGCCTGCTCTTCCTCCACGCCATGCTTCGCTTGCAGATGCTGAACAGCGGCCCAGGGCTCTTTGAGGGACTTGCGGCACATGTGAGTCCCGTAGAGAGGGCACCACTGCGGCCCCATGTGGGTGCAGTGTTCCACTTCCTCCGCCGTCAGCAAGCCCCAAAGCAGCCTAAGCTTCCGGGGAGGCGGGCTGTCACGCTCCTCCTCGTGCCTTCCCCGCTCTTCGCTGCTGTGCTTCTTGTAGCGCTTCTTGTCCTTCTTCTTTTCTTTCTTCTCACGCTTGCGGCTCTTCTCCACCTCCCTTTCCTCCGCTTCTGTTTCCTCCGCCGGCTCCTGCACGTCGAACGGACTCTTCTTCGAAGGCGCCTCCGACACCGCGGGCTTCGGGCCCCACTCTCCCGGAGGTTTCTCCTCAGAGGCTTCGTGCTCCGAAGAGCTTCTCTCGCGCCGCTTCCTGCCTGCGGAAGGGGAGCGCCTTGTCTCTTTGGAGTGGGAGGAGCTGTCGCTTCGCTGAGACTCGCTCCTGGTCCTGGTCGCCGTGCCTGTTCCCGCCGGAGAAGTCGAGGGATCAGCCGCTCCAGGCATCGCCACTCTCTCCCAGTTTGGCGAAGACCTGCAACAGGGGAGATTCCATAAGGCTAAGGCTTTAATTTTGGGGTTAGAGGGCTCAAGGGATTGAAAAGCTCTTCACAGAAAGCAAACATCTACACGAAGGCCGAGCTTGACCGCCGCCGCCCCCGCGAGGGGGAGGAGGAAGCCAAGCTGCGACCGGAACGAGCGCCGCCGCCGCCGCCCTGGTAGGCGGAGGAGGAGACGCTGCATTCCAACAAACAACCAAAGCAAAAAACTTTCGAACTCAACTCTTATCAAACCCCTGGCTAGAGACGCACCTCTCGTCCGCCATCGATGCCCGCGGTGCTTCTTCCTTGCCGTCTTGAGCCGAAGCAAAGCTGCGGAACACAGGCTTGTCTGGCGTGCGACTGACCCACACTGCAAGCATCTCGACCACACGCGAAAATAAGAGAGGTTCTTTTTGATTCCACATCGGCATCTCTATCCCAGTCGCCGCAACAGACCGGTGTGTCCTAGAAACAAAAGACGTTCTCTGCTGGTGCGCACGGCGTTTCTTGTTAAGGCAACCCACACCCGCCGCTCAAAGCGACGCTTCCAGAGCTTCAGTCGTTCCTCTCTGGGTGCTTTCCTCGCAATGGCTTCCTGGTAACTCTTTCGAGACTCCTCAAGCCTTTTCAAAAGTCGTTTCAAAAGCTTCTTGCCTGCAAATATTTTTGCAGCCACACACCGAACTCGATGAGCCACATACCAGGTCCTCAAAGCAAACCTTGAAGGTTCCACTTTGGCCCGGACACCGGGCCTGATCGCGGGAGCATCCTGCCGAATCTTTCTGTTTCTGCTGCCCGTGGACGACATCTGCAGAGGCCGTTTGCGGGTACCCTAAATCTGCAAGCTACGAGCCGAAACGAAAGATAACATCAACCCTACCTCATGGCATTTAATGTGCCGTCCTGTCCCCCCCTACAATGAAACAAAAAACTTTAAAGCACTGCACGTATGTTACAGGAATGCACTCCCAGGCTTCCCAAGCAAACCCTTTCTGCTCGCGATGCTGTCACATCCAGCCAGTGCTGCGCCCTTGCGCAGGTTTTGGGAATCTGCAGGCCTGCAGCTTCCTCCTTAAAAGCGGCTCCACGGCTCTGTGCCGGCCAAATCAAGGGAAAAACAATTTACACGATGTCACCTCCTTTGCATTCTCTAGCAGGCGGTGCGGTGCGCAATGCGAGCACGTTCCTTGGCTTCTTCCTTAGACAAGCCCAACTTCAGAGCTGCTCCCAACTCCTTGTGGTAAGCACGAGATCGAATGCACTTGGCTGTCATCTTCAGTACCCGGGGGCCCGCTGCGGCGGCTGCAGGCCTGGCCATGCAGCAGCTCGGCTTGCGCTGCACGCCGGCTTTAGCTTTGCCTTTGCTCTTTGCCGCTGCCTTGCTCTTGGCCGTGGCTTTCGCTTTTGCTTTCGCGCTTGCTTTCGCCGCAACTGGCGCAGTCTTCGCAGCTGCGTCTCCATGGGTCGCGGCGGAGACAGGCTGCGCAAACGACTCTCGGGCTGCTGGCTTCTTCAAAACGGGGGCTGGCGATCCTTCATCTTTAACTTCCCAGACAGACGGCAGTCGCAGCAAGTCGGGCACTTGCTGCAGCGCTGGCTTCTTTGCAACCGGCCCGTCCTTGGCAGCTGGCCTTTTCAAGGGACTCTTCGCAACCGCGGCGGCTGCAGGCCTGCGCAGCACCGAGTCCGCTGCAGGAGCTGCAGAACTCCTCGACCTTGTCTCCCGATCCATTGCCGCAGCTGGCCTTCGCAACACTGGTGTTTTTGCCGCTGCCGGGCTTGCGGCGTCGGTTTGTTTCCCCTTGACACGCCTTCTGCCGCTAGACTGCCCCGCCCCGTCACGAAAGTAAGACCAAGGCGACCGAAGCTCTTTGCCGTAGTGCACAGCAGCCAGTCCCTTGACACTTTCCTTCAACTTCGACGGCAAGTGACCGAGGGGACTGCCCTTGCTCAAGCGCTCAGGCGGGGTGCTGCCGCCTGTGTCTGCAGGGAGGCCTTGTGAACCGGAAGCGGCTCTTGCGGGGGTTCTCTCCACCTCCGGCGCCGGCGGCTGGACCGCTGATGCAGCCTCTGACAGTTCCTGCTGTGCCGCTGGCGGGGCTGCCTCTTGCGGCGGCGCAGGCGGTAAAGACAGCAACGCACCGTGCCCACTCTGCTGCGATTCTCCTAAGCTTTGTGTCGATGACAAAGCAAGCACTCTCGAAGCCCCGTTGCCCTGCGAGCCACTGCCTCCCGAGGCCCTGCCGCCATCGCCGAAGATATGAAGCTGTGGTTCTGATCTTGAACGACCTTGGAACCCCTGAAAGATTTGCGCCGCGTGCGAAAGCATCTGCAGCGAATGCAGAGGATCTGCCGCTGGCCTTGCTGGCGCCATCGCTCTGGTGCGCTCTTCTCCAACCAAACGATTCGATTGCCTCAACGGCCATGCCCGCGCGTGACGCAGCACCGTGTCCAAGACCAAGCGAGTCTGCGTGAAACCTCCCGCAAAGAATGCTTGCCTCCACGCCCCCGGAACCGTAACGTGGTTTGCGACAGCTGGCAGATTCATCGGCGCTTGGTGCTCTGGCAATCCTTGTGTGCGAGCACGAGCTATCGCAGCCTTCGTTCGATTGCGAATGGTGCCGAGCAGCTGGAAAGCCAAGGTTGCATCGTTGCGAGTCGTTTCTCCTGCTGCTGTGTCCAACATTGTCAGCACAGCGTCGATGGCAGCCAGGGTCAGCTCACTGGGATTCCGAAGTCCCAGGCGTGCTAAGCAGTTTGCCAGCCTGTCCAGCTTAACCAGCTGTGGTTGATCGCTTTGCAGATCTTGCCACAAGGAATCGTTCAGAAACAAAACAAACGTCGTCCAGTTTTGCATCTGGGCTCTGCTCGGAGGCATCGCTTTGCAACCGTCTCCGAGCTTTCTGCACGTGTAAACAAAAAGTATGAGCCAAAACGCTGCAGATGTCAACAACAACAATTGTTCAACTTCACACAGGATCCCTTTTCAACATTTAGATTCAAGAAGGTTGCATCCGAATCGGTCCGGAACCATGTTGTCATTGCTATAATTTGCTGGGAACCTTATTTTTCATATGAATTTGAAATTTTCATGGCCCGAGTTGCAAATTTATAATGATTTTCTGGACCGGACGCCAAATTTTGAAAATGAATAAAAAATAAAAATAACTTCTATAACTTAGTTATAACTTAAGTTATCAAGTTATGTTATAAGTTGATAACTTAAGTTATAACTTAATATCTTAGATATAACTTCTACTATAAGTTATGAACTTATAAGTTAAGTTACAGGACTTATAAGTTATGTTATCATACTTATAAATTACTTATAACTTACTTATAACTCAGGGGCACCACCCTGTATGTAGTCGCGGTCCAAGCGCGATGCTTTGTAACGCACAACCAGCGATCGTGGGAACAAAGAACTGACTGTTTCCTGGTCGATGCCAACAAACCTAAGCAGACGAGGTTCTTTGCACATTCGTACTCCACGGTCTCAACAGAAAACATTCTCACTTGCAGGCAAGCGGCTTGGGTAGCTGGTTGAATTCGAATCGCTTCCAGCCACGAAGTTCAACCAAGTGCGTCTGTATAGCATAGGGCAATCTCTCTGGAAGTTTGTCTGCACATTGGCCGCCGTGAGCTCGCACATGCCGCGAGCTTCCTTCAATGAGCTCGAGAAAGAAAACTTCCTCTCTACGAGAAATGTCCAGCAAGCGCAGTCGATGCACACAGATTGCTCCTTGCACAACATGCTGTAAGCTTTTGTGCCACAATGACCCAGGGGCTCCAAAGTATGCTGAATAAGCCTACTTTGGCCTGCGTAGGCCAGAAACCAAGACATTGGGGGTTAAGAGGCTACGTAGGCGATTTTGGCATACATTCGATAAGGCCTGCGGGGCCTTGCGGGGAGGGGCTTTCCCGTGTCAGTGTCCCGACAAGCAAGAGCATAAATATGTCCTGTGAAGACCCCACTTTAGCAGCTTGAGCACAACAAATCTGGTTACGTATCGATTTGGGGCATTACGTCGGCAGGCGAGGGGTGGTAAAAATCTTCTACACCACAAATCCTTTGATTAACTTCCCCTGATCCACAGCAAAATCCCCAATTCGGGCTGAATGAATGAATTATCTAATCTACACGAGACCGACAGACTCGAATCCCTGGAGCCTTTAAACGTTCGTACTGGTTTCATTTGAAGAGAGTTGTAGACATTTTTGATTGGGGACTATGATTTTCCGAGCTCCAACATCAGAGGGAAGAAGGGAGGGAGGGAGAGAGGAAAGGCGAGGGAAAACTAACGACAGAAAGAGAGTCAGAGAGAGCGAGAGAGAACGAGAGACAGAGAGAAAGAGGTAAAGAGAGTGGGATAGAGAGTGAGACAGACAGAATGACAGGCAGGAAGGCAGGCAGACAGACAAAGAGACGGAGAGAGGGAGAGAGGGGGAGACAGAGAGACAGGGAGACAGACAGACAGATACTCCCGCCCACACACATACACTGACATGCACATACACACACACACACACACACTACACACAGACACACGAACACACACACACACACCGACATGCACACACACACACACAGACATACACACACACACAGATACACAAGTGCAGAGCCTAGGTGAATGAACAACCTGCTCATACTCACAAACACAAAAGTGCAAAACACATACGGACGCACAAACACATGCACACGTACTATGACAGAATTCTTTAGGCCTGCTTTACTACTGACACACATTTGTAGAATCGTTTATGCTCATGTCATGCGGGAAGTGTTTGGAAGTGTTTTTGCTTTCGTCGTCTGTCTGTGAAGTATCAACTTGGAAAAATCGTTGTTCCGTTGCCGTCGGGTTTTTACTCGGAATAGTTTCAAAGGGACTGTCACTCTTATCCGATGGTTGGCGCTGGCCATCCTGTGCTTGTGTCGTTTTGCATTTCGCATAACTTATCGCTCAAGCACAAAAAGTAGCCTTGGAACATTACGGTTTTAGACATCGAGTCCTGGCGTGCTTGCTTGAAGTTTCAGCTACTTGCTCAACAACAGCTACTTGCTCAACAACAGCACAAGGGTCTGCAGACTTCATTAGTTTTGACCGCACAAGCTGGCAAGCCTAAACCGTAGTTATCGAGTAGTGGCCATCCAGCCTCAAGCGCAAGATTTCAAACCAAGGAGATTTAGGAAATTCTCGATATCCAAATTCTGGTTTTGGAGCCGAGAAGTGAGGTTTTCGGTAGGATTTCGGGTTGAAGGTATAAATGTGTCACAAGTGGGAGGCTGAGTGGGTGCTGCATACGCAGCATCCATTAAAGTCTGCAGCTTGAACTTGGCACATGAGCCTGGGTTGTTAAAATACACAACTTGAGCGCA